CTTCATTAGAGAAGCACATGGGATTGCTGTATGACTCCCTTTCGCTCACACTGAAGGGGTACCCATCCAGCCTGCACAGCCTTCCATGGGCAAATTGCCACCTGCACTGTCCCAGGAACCTGCCTCAGGGCCAGAGGCCTCCTCAGCCTCAGATTCACGCAGCTAAGCAGGAGTCTTTGTTTTCTCCTGTTTTCTGGAGAGTTCTCTAAGGCATTGGCAGCCTTCATCCTCTAAGGATGTTCAAGTCAAGCCCTAGCCCTAACCCTCAACTCCCTGCTGCCAGTGAAGATAATAGTGACTCTGTGTTGTGCGCCTCGAAGCACAATGCACCTTTTTTCCACAGTGCACTTTGAACACATGGCACCTAGAGCCTGTGAGAGCGAATTTGACTCACGCCAAACATTTTCAGCCTCCTACTAGGTCACCATGGAATCCAGATACCAAATGTCCTCCAGCTTCCATTCCCCATCTCATCTCTCAGGAAACAAGACGCACAATGCGAGTCCTTTGGTCTGCACTTCCCTCCCAGTATCCCTCTTGCAATTAATCAGGTTCTCTAAGATTTGGAACGCTGGTTTCAAGTGGCTGAGCAATAAACTGCTTTCTTTCCTTCATCTTTCATGGCCAGCCTAATAAAGGTGTCAATTAGCTCCTTTCTTGTTAGCTAATGTATAACAACAGTATAGCCCTGGACCATCAGTCTTGACCAGAGAAAGGCCAGCTCAGAGGAGCCGGAGCCACAGATGCAAGGGCCTTTCAGTGAGGGCATCAATGGGGAGACTGGAAAGACCAAAAGAGAATGGAGAGTAGTGACTGGATTGCTGTGGCTACCAGTGAGCAGTGATGCCCTCACATCTGCCACCTTACACAGGGATTCCCTAAGGTCAGGACCTCAGCTCTGGGTGGTGACACAGGTGGGTAAGGCCTGGTAAACCAGTGGTTGGTTACCTTTCCATCTCCTCCCAGAAGAAAGTGCGTTACCCTTGCTTTGTAAATGGAGACTTTGACATCTAAGAGCACTGTTAGCCATGAAAAAATTCACTGTAGCCCAAAGGCCCTAGGCTGATCTTTTAGTTCCTCTAAAAATTAGCCTTTGCCAGATGCTCAATTCAATTCAAGACCCATTAGGCATTTCCTGTTTCTGACTTTGTTGGGCACCGTGGGAAAATTATAATAGTCAATTCTGCTCTGAGTTGCTTACGCTGTTTCTTCAGAGAGGTGAGACATGGACACTTTTTGCAGGAAACAATACACCCAACTATCCATCAACCAGTGAATGAATAAACGAAATGTGGCATATCCACATAATGAAATATTATTCAGCCATTAAAAACAATGAAATACTGAGCCATGTAATAGCACAGAAGAACCTTCAAAACATGCTAAATGAAAGAAGCTATCACAAAAGACCATACATTGTATGATTTCATTGACATGCAATATCCAGTATAGGCACATCTATAGAGCATATCAGTGGTTGCTTAAACTGAGGGAGAGATAGTGACTGCTAACGGGTATAGGGTTTCTTTTTGGGATGATAAAAATGTTCTAAAATTAATTTAGTATATCCATAACTATGGATATACTAAAAAGCATTGAATTATACAGGGGTGGGCAGAAGTAGGTTTACAGTTGTGAGTGTGAAAAAGTTTATTCTTATATTATTATTTATTTATTATTGTATTATTTGTCATACGAGCAACTGTAAACCTACTTTTTCCCACCCCTGTATGATCTAAATGGGTGAATTTTATGGTATATGGATTATATCTCAATAAAGGTGTTTACAAAAGAAACCATATAAGATGATATGCAATTAAGTGCAATTTTGTTCGGTTCAGAGAGTACCTGTTTTACAGAAAATTAGGGTTGGGACACTAGTGCCAACAGAAGGCTTCCTGGATGTCTTTGATGATGCGCTTTGAGTAGGGTAGAGTAGGAGGACTCTAGAGAGATGGCTGACAGGCTTGAGCAGAAGTAAGTTTTGTTGTGGGGGGAGAATGCACTTGGTAAAGAGAACAGCCAGACCTGGAGTGGAAGGTAGGGAAAAGAAGGTTGCATGGAGAGGTGGGAATAGATTGTGAGGAACCTTGGATATCAAGCAGGGCTTTAGATTTTATCCTCTATACACAGTGTAAACTTAAAAAAAAAATTTCATTTATTGATTTTAGAGAGAGAAGGAATGGGAGAGAGAGAGAAAGAGAGAGAAAGAGAGAGAAACATTGATTTGTCATTCCCCTTATTTATGCATTCATTGGTTGCTTCTTATTTGTCCCCTGACCCACAACCTTGGCATATGAGGACAATGCTCTAACCCCGTGGCCGGCAAACTGCGGCTCGCGAGCCACATGCAGCTCTTTGGCCCCTTGAGTGTGGCTCTTCCTAAGCCTTAGGAGTACCCTAATTAAGTTAATAACAATGTACCTACCTATATAGTTTAAGTTTAAAAAATTCGGCTCTCAAAAGAAATTTCAATCGTTGTACTGTTGATATTTGGCTCTGTTGACTAATGAGTTTGCCAACCACTGCTCTAACCCACTGAGCTACCCGGCCAGGGCCCCACAATGTAGGATCTTAATTAGGAGCATAATAGACATAGTGCACCAAGGCCTGGAGCATCAGGGTGAGTTTGAACTCCGGGGGCAAGAAAAAGAAAGCAGGTTTGGAGGCTTTTTGTAGATCATGCAGAAGAGGTTTGTTTGCACATCCTGGTTGGGATGAGTGGGAAGTTAGGAATCCAAGCTGGAATCAGCCAGAGCCAGTCTCAGCAGGGCCAGGTCCCTTTCCTGCTTCCTCTTGGGGACATGCCCATGTTCTCCTTGGTACCTTTTTGTCTCTGGGGCCTGTCAAAATAGGCTGTGATGCCAGCGACTAAGAATTTGAGTTGACCGAGTTTACTGTTTGACCAACGGCCGGTACAGATCACGAGCTGCAAAATGTTTAATCTGTGAGGTCACTGAAGGGAAATGAGATTGGATCAATAGGAGTGTCTGCTGTTTCCTTAAGGGTCAAGTCTGAACTGCTTTTCTTCTACTTTCTTTTGGCAAAACCACAAACCATTAAAAATGGAAAGAATCACATTTTTTTTTTAGGACCCACAAAAGCTTATTTTTAATCAGTTGTGTGGTCTGCTCACCTTTGTGGTTGGTGTTCTTCTTGACCCGATTCACAAAAATAAATGAATGCTAACCTAGTGGTTTCCAAACCCTTTCAAAGCAACACCCCCCTTTTGATGACTCAGTATTTACCCAATATTTAAGATAGAGCCCTTGGGTTGCAGCCTTGGCACCAAAGCCTGCTTTGAGGCCCCACTGAGGAAAATTGCTCCCTGGTGCCACCTGTCTTCTTCATTCGCAAGGTTTCTAGTGGACACCTGTTTAGCACTTCAGGATGAGTTCTCTAAAATGAGGGTGGTGAAGGAGGAAAGGGAACTTACAAAGGAAGGCAATGAAGGGACAGTGTGGCTGTGAATGTGTCATTCTTGCATTATCCAGCAGGCATTTATTGGGCAATTCTTGTGTGCCAGGCGCCATACTAGGTGTTGGGGATTTAAAGGTAAATATGTCACGTCCCTACCCTCACAACTCAGTTGAAAAAGGGGCTTTTCTTCAGTGTGACAGATGTGATGGGAGGGCCCCTGACCCCAACAGAGTCGGAAAAGGCTTTGGGACAGAGTTACCAGCTGGGCTGAGACCTGGAGGGTGAGTGAACAGAACTAGGTAGAGACATGAGCCCTGCAGGGAGAGGGGGGTGTGAAGAGTCCCCGGTGTGAGCCTCTGATGGTGAACCGTGGTGAGAAATAAGGCTTCCCCAAACAGTGGAGACTAATTCAGGTGGTAGATCTGAGCTGCAACCAGCACTTTTTTGGTGGGGTGGACACTTGCAGAAGACGCCAGGAGCACACCTGCAGCTCTTAAAGGGAAATGGAATCTGCATTTCCCCCTGGTTAGTGAAGAGGGGGGTGCTCAGGAGATGGGGAACTGCCCGGCATGGTGGACTCCTAGGTGTGTCTAGCTTTAGGCTCTCTTGTCAGTGTGAGTGTGGAGCTGTTGGTGAGAGAGATGGGTGTATGGACAGGATCCCATCAGATCTTGGGAGTTGTGAACCACATGGGCTCCAGGGAAAGGGAGGTGAGGGAGACTGGACATGTGTGTCGGGGGAGGGGAGGA